GCCTGTAATTCCAGCTACTTGGGAGACTGAGGCACGAAAATCACTTGAACCCGGGAGACAGAGGTTGCAGTGAGGTGACATTGAACCACTGCACCCCAGCCTGGGCGACAGGGTGAGACTTCATCTCTTAAAAAAAAAAAAAAAAAAAAAAAAAAGGTGGATGTCCATGAGTGGTTAGAATTAGAAGAAATCTTGAATAAGGACATGATGTTGGTGTGGCGTGGGGAGGCCATGTCAGTCTAGGGTTGGAAGATAACTAACTTTCTTCTTACCTAGAGAGGTATGGAGAGGGGCGAGATGGGGCATTCAGCCAGTGGGGTCCACATGGTTGACTTTTTAAAATTTTTTTTTAATAAGAGAACTGAATGAGATTTCTGAAACTTTTGTGACATTTCTTGAAGTGATTAGGAACTTGGCAGGGTGTTTCTCAACTGGAGATGCTATATTAATTAAAACATTGACTTCAGGACTTCAGGTAACGTAAAGTAATTCAGATCTGCTTTTTTTTTTTTGAGATGGAGTCTCGCTCTGTCACGCAGGCTGGAGTGCAATGGCACAATCTTGGCTCACTGTAACCTACGCTTCCTGGGTTCAAGCGATTCTCCTGCCTCAGCCTCCCCAAGTAGCTGGGATTACAGGTGCCCGCCCCACACTTGGCTAATTTTTGTATTTTTAGTAGAGACGAGGTATCACCATGTTGGTCAGGCTGGTCTCGAACTCCTGACCACAAGTGATCTGCCTGCCTCGGCCTCCCAAAGTGCTGGCCCAGATCTGCTTAAGCAAAAAAAAAAAAAAAAAAGCATTCATTGGAAAGATAAATATTTTATACAACCCAATGGCAGGAATGAGCTGAGGTCTCAGGAGCTAGAAACTGTAGTTATTTTTTCATCTCTCATCTCCTCTGCCCTCTCTACATCTCCATTCTTATTTTACATTGCCGTTCTTTGGTCTTCATAGCAGGTACACAGCCCCACTGCCTGTGAGTGTATGTGACACAGGGCCAGCTACCTCAAGGAAGTGACTCTTGCTTGACTGACTGGCTCAG